GCTCCTTCACAGGGATCCTCTGGTGTGCCTTGGCACATCTGTGAGTCCTAACCAAGTACCCTACACTCCTTTATGGGATGAATGAGACAGTCCAAGTAACTGGGAGGAGAGCGTGTGTTCTTAAAATCAGCACCCAGTTTTCGATGACAAAGAGTGAAGGCACACCAGCTAACATATTATCACAATTGCTTCTGCATGCAGCAGGGCAGTGGCCTCTGTGAGAGACCTGCCAACAGCCTCTCTCTCACAAAGCTCTTCTCTTGCATGACAGGCTGAGTAGCTTTGCTGTTGAAGGACATCTTGGTCTCTAGCTGAAGAGAGAGGAACCTAAACAATACCAGTACTTCCCAGAGCCCAGCAGAGAAGGGAGGAGCCCTTCAAAGGTCACAAGAATAAATCACGCGTTACAATGACAACTGATATGATTTCACACATTTCTACTATAGCACCATAGTATTAGGAGGTGGTGTTAGTCAACTGGACACAAACCTAGACAATCCGGGAAGAGGGGATCTTAACTGAGAAAGTGCCTCCGTAAGACTGGCCTGTAGGTATGTCTGTAGGGCATTTTCTTGATCAATGTTTGATGTCTGAGGGTTCAGACAACTGTGAGAGGTGTCAGCCCTGGGTAGGTGGTACTGGGGTTTATAAGAAACAAACTGGGTGGCTGGAGAGATGGCTCAGTGGTTAAGAGCACTGGCTGCCCTTTCCAAGGTTCTGAGTTCAATTCCCAGCAACCACATGGTGGCTTATACCTATAAAATACATAAATAAATAAAATTTAAGCCAGGCAGTGGTGGTGTACACCTTTAATCCAAGCACTCAGGAGGCAGAGGCAGGCGGACCTCCATGAGTTCAAAGGCCAGCCTGATCTACAGAGCGAGTGCCAGGATAGGCTCCAAAGCTATACAGAGAAACCCTGTCTTAGAACAAAACAAAACAAAACTGGACAAGCCATGGGGAGCAAGCCAGTAAGCAGTGCTCCTCCAGGGTCTCTGCTTCCATTTCTGCCTCCAGGTTCCTGCCCTGACTTTCTTCCCAGGTTCCTCTCAATGGACTGTGACCTAGGAAGCATCAGCCAAATGAACCATTTCCTGTTCAAGTTGCTTCTGGTCCTGATGTCTTACCACAGTAAAAGAAACTAACCTAAGAAACAAGCATTCTGGCGAAACACTGTATCTTGGAGGCTTCCTGTGAAAAACACCCAAATTTCGGTGTATTAAGATCCAATACATAGACTGGGACAGAAATCACAAGCAAACCTTCAGCTGAAATTATTGTCTCACAAACAGAGACAGCCAGGGTAATGAATGGAATATGGTGACATGCATATTCTTCCAGATTTTTCTGGACATGCATTTTTTTCTTCCAGATTAAAAATGTAATGAAATACACAGAAATTTGCCTGAAGAGTCCTAGGGAAAGAGAATTCCATTGAACAGCTTCTTGACCAACTGATACATCTCTGAAAGTCCTTAGAAGGAAGTTACTCTCCAGTGACCAGGGAGGGATGCCATGAAGCCAGCCTGCCGGAGATGTCACTTGAATAACAGACAGGGAGCAGATCAAATAATGCCAGGTTTGGTGTTGTACTGGTGCAGTACTGGCTGCGTGACAAGTGTTCAATAAAATAATAGCAAAACGTGACACAGGGAGTCTGAGTCTCCATTCTTACCACTATTACCCACATACCAGATGGCAACACACACCCATAATCAAGCACAGAGCCCCCGTGGGCTGGGGGTTGGCCAAAGCTGAGTCAGGCTGGCTCCTTCTCGGCTGGCCTCTGTGGAGGAGGAGCTGATCCACCTCCACAAATGGTTTTTTGGGCCCTGTGGATGGGATGGGTGCACTCATGTTCTCCCTTCCTTTTTTTTTGAATAGGGTCTCACTGTGTAGGACAGGCTATTCTTAGATTAACAATCCCTTGTTTTAGTCTCCTAATTTAGCCTGGAGTGATGTTACAGGTGCTCTTGAAGGCCCACGGTGCCCATGGATGGGTTCAGAGCATTTGTGAGTGAAGTTTCCTCACCACTACATGCGAAATTCCATCCAGTCAGAACTAAGAAGCTGTGCAAACACAGTGAGACATCTGGGGGTTGAACAGGCTCGGCTGGCCACATAGAAGACTTGGAAGTATTAGCCCTCTCCTTAGGGGCTGGGTCGCTGAGGGAAGGAAGCCAGTTAGGGACAGATAAACACCAAATGGTTCAATTTTCCTGAAGAGGCCAATTCAGAGGCAGGAAGTGGAATGGTGTTGTCAGGAGTTGGGGGGAGGGGAACATAAAGTTTTTATTCAGTGTGTGTAGAGTCTCAGTTTTGCAAAATGAGATGAGTCCCGTAGATGGATGGTGGCAATGGCAATGTGACGATGGGAAGGCAACTAAGACTCCTACACTCGAGATTAAGATTCATGCTGAGGTCAGAGGTACATGGGTTAGGGGAGTTCAGGCCCACCCTGGACCCTATAAGACCCTGTCTCAAACACACAGTATATATTTTGCCTTTGTTATTGGATTACAATTTTAAAATACACCAATGAAAAACAATACATAGAAAATTTCAACAGGCATTTATTTTCTCTGAGGTGAGAGAAGTCTATGGCCACACTGCTACTGTTCCAGAGATGGTCCTCTACAATCGTCTTTCATGAGGATACAGACTCTCCAGCAGTCAAGGAGACACCATCTTTGTGTCTTTGAAAAGTCTTTGAAACAGGAGGCTCATGGCAGGGCATGGACCTCTATTATTAACACAACCAAAATGTTAAGTGGACTTTTCAGTTCTACCAAAACTCAATTTTCTAAAAAAACAAAAACAAACAACAACAACAAACAAACAAACAAACAAAACAGCCTTCTAAAGCCCAAAGTCCGTGGGAGGTGGAATGTATTTCTCTTTGAAATTTGAAGTTATATAGATCAAACTTCAAAGAATCCTAGCACATTCCTTTATGCTGTGTGTGGCTTTTGAACTGAAGAGCTCAAATCTTTGGTGCTGTTACCTTATATTTTCCTGTACCTGTGGCCTGGGAAATCAAACTTCACAATGGACCAACCTCTACCCGTGCCTGTTTTTGACTCAACAGAGAAGGGCCTGACAGGAAATGGGAAGTCATGGAAAGAGACTTAATCTCATCTGATTAAGGAAACTTCAATTTCCTTTATTGGATTAACAGGAAGCAAAATACAGATCATCAAATGAACGAAGATGCGAGGATGTGGGTGATCTGGTGCGTATTTGGAAAGTGTGTCATTTTCAGATCTGAGCGTCAGGAATGTGTAGGTACGATGGATTGTGGGAGAGGAAGTTGATAGAAAACACTCCTCTCCTTCATGGTCCCTATAATGGATTTTCCCTTGAGTCTGCTGAATCAGCAGAGGTGGGTCCTCGTTTAGTGCATGCGCAGTTTGCTTGCGTACCAGCTCTGGGAAGGGCAGCGGTGCTCAAGCTGCTCTCCCTGCTATCTGTCCTTGTCCTTGCCCTTCCCCAGGGCCCACTCCAACAACAGAACACAAGCTTCGACCCTACCCACCACCACCACCATGCAAGCTTCACCCCTGGTAGCAAGGGCCTGGCCAGCTTGGTTGCTAGACATTGCTACATTCTGAGTGCTCACTGTCTGAACAGCGTCTCACTTTCTCATAATGATCTTGTCCTCAAGCAACCCTAGAAGGTAACTGTGTTGTTTTAATTTTACATAAGAGCAACTAAGACTTGGGAAGGTTAAATGGCTTTCCTGAGGACACTCGGCTTGCAATTGGCAGAAATGGTCCCGATTTTTCTGGTTTGGGAGTTTTTAAAAGAGAAGCCTTTGGAGTGAAAACTGCTTTCCAACAGCTTCCTCTCCCAGAAGGCTGACCCTAAAGAGATGTCTGTGGAACTGGTAAAGAGCTGGAGGCTAGACCAGGTGAGGGGACCTCAGCACCTGGGCTGAATCTCAAGGCCTTGTCCCTTTCCTCATTGAGACATTGCACCCTGCCCTGCCAAGGTCACTGTTGGCCTGTCTGCATGTTGGGACCTGTGCCGCCCCTGGTGAACATGAGTGGAGGGAGAAGGCCCTGCTCACACTGACACCTTCTGTCTTAGTTAGGGTTTCTATTGCTGTGAAGAGACACCATGACCATAACCTCTCTTATAAAGGAAAACATTTAATTGGAGCAACATGGTGGCATGCAGGCAGACATGATGCTGGAGAGTTCTACATCTTTAGCAAGCAACAGGAAGTAGTCTGAGACACTGGGCGTGGCTTGAGCATATGAGACATAACCCTCCAAAGTGACACACTTCCTCCAACAAGGCCATACCTACTGCAACAAAGCCACACCTAACAGTACCACTCACTATGAGCTTATTACAAACTACTATACCTTCTACTAGGATCCTGCAGATCTTGGGCTTGTGTCAGGGGCCCCGTCCCAGTCCTCCATAATAGTTCAAATTGACAGGCTCTAGAATCACATAAGAGATCTGACCATGCCAATGGAAGAACTGATTGGCTAGGTTAATTGAGGTGGGAAGATGCATACTAAATATGGGCAGTACCATTCATGGGCTGTGGTCTTACACTGAATAACAAGGGGAAAGTCAGCTGAGCACCAGCTCCCTCCCCCCCCCAGTGTGTGGGGAGCACTCACACAATGACTGTAAATTACCGAGGTCTTCTGCTCCTGGAGGTATAATGTCTGCCCTGCAGGATGCTCTGCCCATAACCAAGAGAGCTCAAGTGAGCCCCTCCTCTTCCTTATAAGGGGTCACATCTACACACTGAAGCCACACCCTAAGGCCATTACCTCAAGTCTACTGGAGGAACAAGATGCCACTACACCCCAGAACACCCACCCCACCTTCCTGAATGTGGATGCCATGTGACTAGCTGAGCAACCCCCCTCCTGAGTGTGGAGGAGATGTAGCCAGCTGCCTCAAAGCTCCTCTCATGACCTTCCCGCCATGATGGATGCACCCTCCAGCTGTGGACGGAAATGAACTCTCTCCTTTTTTAGGTTGTTTTTTGTCAGGTACTTTTGCTATCTTCCCTCATGCTCTAAATTGGGCTCAGGGTCTTTTCATTCTTCTGAGAAATTGAGAAAATGCAGAACAAGTTCACCTCAGTTTGCCCTCTTAAATTTTGGCACTTCGGGTTGCCTTCTTTCAGAGGACCCAGAGAATGGGACAGAAGAGCCTCCTCCCCTTGCTTCTGGCAGAGCATCAGGTGGCCCTGTCCTGGAGACACAGTTGTCCACAGAGATGTACGTAAGACTGACTGCTGTAGTTTAGCAGAAGCCAACAAATCATGATAGACAACAAATCTAAGAAGAAGTTTATTGATGGGAAGGGGCCTTAAGAGGAGGTCGTGAAGGTCAATTGGGAAAGGGAAGAGATGAAGAGACAGAGGAGTGGGCAGAGCTTACTTAAAAAAACTGGGGCCTCTGGGCATGCCTACAGAGCCTTACTTAGCCACACAGCACATGAACTTAAGTATGTAGTGACGTACAGCTTATAGGACCCTGACTAAGTATTTGCCTGAATGCTTGACAAGTGCATCCTGCCCCGTGACAGGGGGAGGGCAGGAATAATGTCTGAATGCTAACACCGACCCCAACCAACATCCCAGCCTCTTGATGCAATCACAGTTGCGTCTTGACAGGTAACATTGGACCTGAGCATTCACCAATCAGAACTCTAGAGCTTTCATTAACACGAATTAATACAAAGAATATGAAGACTGGCAGTCACTCCCTGTCCCTAACTCCAAACAAGAAATCAGAGTACGAGGTATAACTAAGAATTGCTTCATGGAAATTAACCAGGGAAACAAAAACCTCAGTTTAAGAATTTTCCAGGCGGCCCTACCACAGGTTAAGTACATTTATACTTACGTGCTTTATTTCTGTGTCAATGTGGAGTTGTTATTAGCAAATAACAGTAATTACTGGCTCAAGGTCACTTAAGTGGGTATAAGTCTCCTATACCGCATCCACAGGAAAAGCCACAGAGGACTGGTCCAGGGGATGCCTGAGGATGGCGCGCCTGCTTTGGGCTTCTCTTTATTGGTCTCTCATCTCTGCCTCTAACTCCTCTGTTCCACAGTCAACAACCTCTCAGCACACCTGTAGGAACAATCTGGAGAAGGATTCGAACTGGCCTCCTTTGGACCTTATGACCTTGTCTGATAACGGAAGTGGGCTTTGTTACCATGGAGACCAGGGAGGCCTGGGGCTAGCTAGGGTTCTAGCTCACTGTCAGAGGGCTTGCCTGGCATGTACAAAGCTGTGATTTCTATCCTCAGCACTGCATAAAACAGGTGGCTGGCTCATGCCTGCAATCCTGGCACTCAAGAAGTACAGACAGGAGGATCGGAAGTTCAAGGCCATACTCAACTATATACACCAGACCAGTCTCAAAAGAAGGTGCTGGGGGTGTGGGGGCGGGGGCGGCGGCAGTAGGGAGTAGACTATGAGCAGAAAATTAAAAAACATGATTTAATTTCCTGTGATTTGTTCAGCATCTGTGTTGGCACAAGTAGCTGAAAACAAAACAACAACAAAAAAAAGCCACCTTTAGTCCTGATGCAAAATTCAATAAAAGTCAGCCCTAGAATATTGTGAGGTTAGAATCATAAATTAAGGAACACTGTGAGAAAGAGCAATGAAACAGACAAACAAAAGAATCAGACGATCCGACTGGCCCCGTCGCTAACGGCCATCCAGGGAATACACGGCAGAGACACGGTGATTTCAAAGGATGGCGCTGATGGCCAGAGCACTAAAGACTGTCATAAAGTGAGCTGGGTCTAAGGAATTCTAAAACGCTAAAAGTTTTCAGGAAGTCTTGATATGAATATTACATGAAGAGCAGAACCAAGCATGGGAAACTGATTACCTAGCGCCGTTATTTGTTTGGTACAATTTCAGATTGGAAATCCTATCATCAAGCCAGGCATGCAGGCGGATCTCTTAAGTGGTCTGTGCTTCACGAAACAAGAGGCCAGTGAAAACCACACTGTGTGAGCACTTTACTGGCTTGTGCTAAATCTTCACAGCCTTCCAGAGACTCTCAGTGGCACACGCGCTTGCTTTATGCACATTTTACAGGGCCTCTGTCAGCGGTCTCCAAATTAAGCTCCATACCGTCTCCTGATGTCTTCCTGTATCCTCACTGGGAAGGGCTCCTGGAGCCAGGGGAGAAGAATCTGAAGGAGAACGGGTGGGTTTGGGGGTCATCCCTTCTCAGTATGAGGGAAACGGCACATGTCTGAGGGAGAGAAGGCTGCAACCTGGGGACCATGAAACAGGGCCTAGCAGTGTCTGCCTGAAGTGAGGACAAGCGGGTGAAAGGCGGTGACTGAGAAAGGACAGGAGCCGAGAGAGAAGGAACGGACCCCGTGTCTTGACAGGATCCTCTTCTCTTAGGCTTTACGTGGACAGAGATGGAGAACTGGAAGGAAGGGTGTGTTCTGTAGCCTTCTGTTGCTGTGCAAATACCCGAGAAACTATCTGAAGGAGAAAATACTTGTTTGGGTGCATGGTCTCAGTCCAGGGCAGGAAGTCACAGCAGAAACGTATGATAAATCAGAGTTTCTCACCCAAGAGTGGCCAAGAGGGTGGGGTGGGGGGAGAAGAGACAGACAGAGAGTTAGAGACTGACAGAGAGACAGGCAAGGCAGAAAAGCAAGACAGAAATCCAGTGACCTATTTCCTACAGCTAGGCCCCATCTCTTAAGCTTCCAGAACCTGTCCAAACAGTATCCCTAGCCAGGGAGCCAGGCCTTCAACACACAAAACTATGGTAACAGGGAGAACAGAATTGAGTAGGAGTGCTGGGGGCAGGCCTCCCTCAAAGATGGAGAAGGGATTCCTGGGGGGAGGGGTGTTGGACTCTCTGGATATAGGCCCACTATCTCACATGATGGACCAGAGAACAACATTTGCTGATACTTCTGCCTGGGATTCACCCAACCTTAACACCACTAAGAGGGGGCTGGGGCTGTGTGAAGTCTATACTTTGCCATAGCTACCTCCTTCCTTCCCACTGGGCAACTCACACCTCTGAGTGAAGATGTCAACAAGGCTAACTTCACAGCTAGTTAATTCTACAGAGAAAAGTAATGCTTAGCATAAGGAGAAATGCAATGAAGCAGTTCCTGACATTGCCTCTATTATTGTAGCCAATGAACAGTTATCCAGGACTCTTGTGAGTCCAAGCTCTTACCTTGTAGCAGTGAGTCAAACACGTTTGGGTCTGGGTGGAAGCTTTATTCTTCTGTCCTGTTCATTCCTCTGGAACATGACACAGTGAAACAGAAGTTGTCCAGGTTTAGTTCTCTAACAGTGATATACATTGTTCAATTAAAATGTCACACTACTTCCCAACTCCACCAGCCAGTGCTTTCCAAAGACTAGAAAGTATTTCCATCTGTGGATGAAATGAGATTGCCACATGACTGCTTGTGTCACTCAGCACCCATCCGCGTGCCTGCTCCTCTGAAAGGCGGCAGCCCTTTGGCCTCTCTTTCTGAGGCTCCCACACTCTTGCCCTCTGACACTCATTTTGCAGGAGCTGTTTAGAGATGCTGCTTCCTAGACCCTCTTGCAAAGGAGCAGCATATTTTCCCTACAAAAGTCTAAGGTTGACTACTTTGAGTGAAATAATGAATGACACGGCAAATTTTAAGATCCATTTCTGAGCAGTAATTGCCACCCCTTTTCCAAATAATCAATGATCTATTTGAATACATCTTATTTTCCTTTTCATTCCAGGGCTGCATTACCACAGACCTTGTCCCCCTCTTCTTCTTCCTATGAAAATACCTAACCAAGTGTGCACTTAGTTTCTTCTTTGCCCTCCACCATCTTTACTGACATCTTGGTCCAACTCCTAGACCCTTTTCCCACCGGCCAATCTGAGCCCTCCTAGCCACCATCTCTCCCCTCTGGAGCTAACGTCTGTGTCATTCCCAGACTCCATATGGCTTCCTCACTTAAAGCACCCCCGGCTTGCCATTGTCAGTCAACTCTTGAATCTTTTAGACTCAGCCCAGGCTTGTCCTTCCTTTAGGGGACTTTCTGCATCTTGAATAAACAAATCAAAGGAACCAACAAGACACCTTGACATTTCCTAATAGGACCAGGGCTTCCTCAGCAGGATCGAGTACACTCTTAGTTGGGATGAGCTTATGATCCCTTAAAGAAAAACAGTGAGATGTGACAGGAGACAGAGGAGGGCCTGACCCAACTGGTCCCCGCAGAACAGCACTGGGGTGGTCTAGGCTCAGTGGGCTTCCTGTAACAACGACATGTAAAGGGAGGGCTGTGGTGACGGATGGTGTCCGTCAGTGTGGTAGGAATTCAGACTGTACCTTGGAGGCTGTTGTGGGGGGCTGTGCCTCCCCTCCACAGCTGTGGCCGTGTGGGCCACATCTATCCTCTATTTTCTGTAGCTTCCACTTTCCAAAAGATCCTTTGATCATCATTGAAAGATTTGGTTGAAGTTGGATTCCCTCACACCCTAAAGATGTGGGTTTTATCCAGGGCCTAATACAATTTACCCTTAATCTTCAGCCCAGTGAATCAAAGCCAACTCACCACTCTACAAGTGGATGCTTGGCTGAGGCCAGCAACCGACATCACTCAGCTCATTTTGTCTGGGTCATCATGAAGCTCTTTGTGGCTACACAGCACGTGCTGATGGCTGACTGCACTGGGCACTGTTCATTCATTTTGCACTTAATGCTTGAGCCGCCTCTGTCTGTAGTTACCATGATCATACCCCCTGAGAGAGCCTGTAATGGCAAGGGTTCACTGCAACTATGGTTTGAATGCAGAATGCCCCCCACCCTAGGCTCATAGTTGCAGTACTCAGCACCCAGATTTCGGTATTATTTGAGCCTTTAGGACAGTGGTTCTCAACCTTTCTAACGAGGCAACCCTTGAATATAGTTCCTCATGTTGTGACTGCCAACCATAAACATTATTTCATTGCTACTTCATAACTGTGTGAATGGGTCACATAACTGCCTGAATGTTGCTACTGTTATGAATCATAGTGCAAATATCTGCTATGCAAGATATCTGATATGTGATACCTGTGAAAAGGTCGTTTGATGCCCAAGGGGGATCATGACACATCAGCTGAGAACCACTGCTGAGACGATGTATCATGACACATCAGCTGAGAACCACTGCTTTAGGAGATGACGGTGTATCATGACACATCAGCTGAGAACCACTGCTTTAGGAGATGACGGTGTATCATGACACATCAGCTGAGAACCACTGCTTTAGGAGATGACGGTGTATCATGACACATCAGCTGAGAACCACTGCTTTAGGAGATGACGGTGCATCATGACACATCAGCTGAGAACCACTGCTTTAGGAGATGACGGTGCATCATGACACATCAGCTGAGAACCACTGCTTTAGGAGATGACGGTGTATCATGACACATCAGCTGAGAACCACTGCTTTAGGAGATGACGGTGTATCATGACACATCAGCTGAGAACCACTGCTTTAGGAGATGACGGTGTATCATGACACATCAGCTGAGAACCACTGCTTTAGGAGATGACGGTGCATCATGACACATCAGCTGAGAACCACTGCTTTAGGAGATGATGGTGCATCATGACACATCAGCTGAGAACCACTGCTTTAGGAGACGATGTATCATGACACATCAGCTGAGAACCACTGCTTTAGGAGATGATGGTGCATCATGACACATCAGCTGAGAACCACTGCTTTAGGAGACGATGTATCATGACACATCAGCTGAGAACCACTGCTTTAGGAGACTATGTATCATGACACATCAGCTGAGAACCACTGCTTTAGGAGATGGTGTATCATGACACATCAGCTGAGAACCACTGCTTTAGGAGATGGTGTATCATGACACATCAGCTGAGAACCACTGCTTTAGGAGATGATGTATCATGACACATCAGCTGAGAACCACTGCTTTAGGAGATGGTGCCTAGAAGGCAAGAGGAGGTCCTCCAGGGCAGGCCTCTGCAGGCTACATTCACCTCCAGTTCTAGCCTAGTTGCCTCTGCTTCCTCATCTCTCACACTCCTGCCACCAAGACAGACTGTGGTCTCTCAGAAACTCTGAGTGCAAATAAACCTTCCTGTCCCAGTTGGTTTTGTTAGGTGTTTTGGTCAGAGTAGTCTACGAGAGTCAGGACCCAGTCCTGTAAGTAGTATTTTCATCTGGCTTCAGTTTAGGGGAAGTACATTAATGGAAGCTTTCCCACCAGAAGGCTGTACTGAACACTCACATGGTTGCTGGAGTCTTCAGCTCTTTGCTGACTTCTCTTGTGGTGTCCTCTGGGATCTGAGGGCCTCTCATTACCTGAAATATGAAAATGGCACATATTTAATTATTCATTTTCTATCACCCTTAATGAGGGGATTAACTTCTGAATGAAACAAAAGGAAATAGTCTGACCTTCAGGCTCTCAGGAAGTGATAATTAACTAAAACCTCAAGTCCCTCTAAATGGACAAATGAAAGGGTTTTACTGATCACGATACAAATGAATCATCAGGGTCACTAATTGAAGCCACATAATGGAGCAATGACAATGAGACAATAAACGTGTGCTAAAAATACACTTTCTTAATTATGCACAGAGGTGCTCTGTCCCCAGACTTTTTATTTTATTTTATTTTTTGCTTACCTGATGCTTTGTCTGGAGGGGCTATAGAGTAGCTTGCATGGTGGGCAGGGAAGGGAGGCTGCATGGCAGAGTATGGGAGTTAGTTTGCTCTCAGAAGCGGAACACCAGTAAGGGAGAGCTAGCCTGGGGATATGTTAATCACAACATTGATGCTAACTGCTTGGATTTCCTTGACTTGGTTGATAAGTTTGACCAAACATTACTGTGGGAATGATTCATGGACATATTCTGCTGCTCGGCATGTAAACACAGCCTTCTAATAGAGACCTTCACCATTACAATGGTCATAAATAGCTTCCAATTACTACTGTTGCTCAACTCGTGACTTCATCATGGCTTCTGGCCAAGCAGATGGAGCCATGTTCTAGGCACAGCAGCAGTACCCAGAAACATTTACTGGGTATGCCATAGATGACAGACACCTCCTCACCCTGTTCTCTCCCAGGACAAAACAGTTTTCCAAAGACCATCAAGCCTTGGAAGTCTCCACACACCAACACTGCTTGGCAACATACAAATATATATCTACTCGAAAAATGGCAAAATGAGTCACTATTAATAACTCAAAGAACCGTGGAGATCCAGTCAGTCCAATTCCTCTGCCAAAGTTCAGAAAGTTTGCTCAGTGCTTTGAGTTAAAAAAAAAACTCTGTTCCTGGTTTGCTTCAGTACATTTCCTATTTAGACCCTCTACTGAGCATATCAAACTGTATTTGTGGCCTTACTAGGGCATACCAGAGCATACAGGATGGACAGCTCTTTAAAGCTTTGGGTTTTTAAAGTCATGCTTGCCAAACAAACATTTTCCATTTCTCTCTACCATAGCAACCGTCATCTTTGCCATATATGCAGAAATTGCCAGGGAAAAGCAAAGGAACTCTACGTTATTTTAGGTTTGTAACAGTATTCTATTATTAACTGTTTCTTGAATGTTTAATACTTTCAAACCCAGTATTTCTTTCTTGTTTTGAGACATGGTTTCTCTGTGTAGCCCTGGCTATCCTGGAACTCCCTCTGTAGACCAGGCTGACCTTGAACTCAGGGATTCTCCTGCCTCTGCTTCCCAAGTTCTGAGATTAAAGGTGTGTGCCACTACTGTCAGGCCAGACCCAGTATTTCTATATGTAATTGCTAATCATCACATCAATTCCACATAGCATGTGTTATTCTGATTTCAAAAACCAAGACTCGGATGTTAAGGAACCTGCCTGTCACTCAACAATACATGTGTGTGGAATTTAGGCTGGAATTCAACCCCAGTGCTCTTCAGCTTAAGCAATGGGAAACTGCCAGGAATCAATCATTTCTTACCAAAACCGACACTATTATGGCTCTAATTTGTTGTACTTTGTTGACCTTAAAATAAAACACAGAATCTCTTGACATCACAGTCTTTCCATACTGGCTGTGTGCTGACTGAAGAACCATTTAATACAGTATTGGGGTGGGGGTGGTGGGAATGGTAATGAAATCCACCATCTCTGCACCAAAAAAAAATGGCAAAGCATAATGAAAACTCTTTTTGATATACTATCTGAAAACCTCCACTTGGCATCATGCTCATTAGAGTTTTCCAAGCAGTGGACTGACATCAAGTACTTCAAAGCCAATGATGCACAAATATTGTGTTAGGCCTCTGAGTTAGTGGTGTATGAGCAGGGGTGTGGTCAAATGATAACTTAGATTTAACTCCCCAGAAACTATGTGGGAGTCAAGACTAGGGTACCTTAGATGGAGGAGACAAGTTATTTCTGTGAGTTCTCCTTTTGGGAATAATGAGTAATAAACTCAAATTTTGACTCAACCCATAGTTTCCTCTAGTGACAGAGTCAGGATGGGAGAAATTAAGGGGATTCATGATGATTGCATTGGATACCCAATTGCTTCTGAGCAATGGGCTGTTAAACCCATGATTGGGAGGTTTTGTGTTGCGTGTCTTGCATCAAATAATAAGTTATAGGGTCAGTCAATGAGAATTAAAGTGAGCCATGAGGCCCTGGAGGAATCTTCTACTGAAAGGGAAGCTGAATCACAAGATGACCACATCAGTGACAGCCACTCAACACACTAGCACCACCATGGTAACCAGTGCCCCTGCCGAGGTACCTAGTTCAGTTCCAAGTAGTATTTTTTCTCAACTACCTATATGTATTCCCTTTGAAAAGAATACAAAAAATAAACAACTGTGTCCCCAAATTAATATAATAAATAACATATCTTAGATATATTTGAGTCTCCATATTTGAGACAAGATGGCCAAACAACTTTTGAAGTTGATGCTTACTTCAATACCAAGCAAAGAGGAAACAGATTCATCAACACAACCATCACATGTTCTCTCCAACCCTTCTTTCCTAAACTGACCTCCCATTTGGAAGGCACCTGGCTGATGCTGCGGTAGACTGCACGTAACTCAAGTCTGCAGAGAAATATTTTTCATAGGCTCTGAGCCATGACAAGGTTAATAGCAACTGCACCTTATTACTTATGATCCAAGTAATACAACTGAAGTGGAGGAGCTTTAAATAGAAGAACACCTGGTGTCTCTTTTAATAGAATGATTGGGGTAGGAAAGAAAAATGAAAACAAGGACAATGGTTGAAGGAAGGAAGGATGATGGATGGATGATTCATCCGGTCCCCAACATCCACAGTGATTCATTCTGCAAAGCAGGGATGTTTAGAAAATAAATCCTACTATTGTACCAGAAAAGACAAGGACATAATATGGTAGAGAACAAAGCATGCCAAAAACATCATTTTCTTTTACTTCTGCGTGACTTCCCAGTGTTCAGAATATTATTCTTGCTTCTAATAATACAGAAAAGAGGAATAAAACGGCAATGATAGGTCTGTCAGGAGAAGCAGTTTTTTATGAATGAAAATATTTCTAAACGGTATTTTAAACATTTTTATTATATTTATTTATATGTGTGCACATGTGTCCATGGCATAGCACGCATATGGAATTCAGAGGGAAATCTCCCAAAGTCAGTTCTCTTCTCCCACCATGTCTATTTAGGGTTAGCAATCAGGTTGTCAGGCTTGGAGGCAAGTGACTTGCCCATTGAGCCATCTGGCCCTTAAAACAGTGTATTTGGATAGTCCTCAGTTTCTACTGATGTTCTCTGCATGGGCCTTTTAAATTTTACTTCCTGTTATTATTCAGGCATCTGCACTGGCCTGCCCTTGGGGTTCTGACAAGATATGCCCTCAGCTACAGCCACTAAGAGCACCACCTGTGCTACATTCCCTTTTAAAAGGGTCCTGCCCACCTCCCATTTCTCCCTCCCCCTCCCTCCCTCCCTCCCTCCCTCCCTCCCTCCCTCCCTCCCTCCCTCCCTCCCTCCCTCCCTCCCTCTCTCTCTCTCTCTCTCTCTCTCTCTCTCTCTCTCTCTCTCTCTCTCTCTCTCTCTCGTCTGCCTGCCTCTCCTCTTCTGCCACTCCAGTCCCCAGAGGTCAGTCTCTTCTCTCCCCTCCCCCTTTTCCTATCCACTTCCCCCCAATGGGAAAAAAAAAACCCCTCCACCCAAGCCCTATCGCATGGAGTCTTTCTCCCTTGCACCACCTTTTAAAATTACAGCACTTCCCCTTGTTGGTCTCAGATGGAATTTGTTAGACTGGCCCTTTCCCAGTGACCCTCACACCCTGCACAGGATGGGTCTTTAGGACCACTGTGTTAATACGCTTAAATCTGCACCAATTCCAACGTGCTGTGTGCTGCTGGGTTTTCATTGCAAAGCCTTTTAGGGAGTGGATTCTGGCCCGAGGCACAGCAGTTAGGAGTAACCAGATGGCAGGCCATGCTAGCTCAGGAAGCCCTTTCCGATAGCTGACGCTGACTCCTTTAGTCACCACTTTGTGAATGAGGGTGAGCCAACTTTGGATTTTTTTCCCTTTCTTTTCCTTCCTCATCCCGTTCCTTCATTTCTTTCTTTTGTTCAAGGAAAAACTAATGATTTGCTGTCCCTCTAGCAGAACCCAAGGGCAGATCAGAGTACAGGAAGTATGGCAAAGGGGACAGACGTGTTTCTGAACATTAGGCTCAGAGGTGCCCACAAGTGTCCAGGTGTGTGTATGGCAGGCACCAACAGAAGAATACTTGGACGAGTAGTCCTCATATGAAGGTGCAAAGTCCATGACAGACGATGGCCCTCATCAGCGTTTCCATGGCACTCACATCACTAGAGGACTTTGTATGGTATGCAGAGTGTGCAGAGTGGAGAACGGGAGGGTTCTGACGGGACCACAGCAGCTCTTTCTGGCAATGTGCGTGTGCGGTGGGGGGTGGGGGCTGAAACAGTAAGTAGTGAGCCCCTTACCCTGCGCGTCAAAAGCGTCCAGGGACTCGTCAGTTCCTAGTGCAGCTTGTGGCCTGAGTGCCATTCTGCTCCTCCACAGTGATCCCGGAAGGCCAGGAAACGACCCATGAGAGCAGGATGTCTCTTTCCTGACCGGAGAGAGCTGGTGGCCAAGAGAAGGGACTACCCCTTAACCAAAGGCAGTTGGTTGCTAGGAATCAACCCCGGTTCTAAGTAACTGAAATTAAAATGATGAACTGACTGTAAAGACAAAGCCAGCAAGTTCACAGACCTCTACAAGAAGAGGCAAAGTCCAGCTGGGCTTCCCAGCCACTAGACTAGGGAGAGAAAGGTCTCTACAACTGCATTCTAA